ATAGGAGCTGTGGGGGGTAGAGGTACGGGTTAGGGTTAGGATAGGAGATGCTCTTTGAAGAGGTGGGTCTTCAAGAGTTTCTGAAGACAGAACCTGTTGTTCTTGTAGCTTGGTAGGTGGTTCCTCCATCTTGGAACGACACATTAAACAGTCTGGATGGTTAGGGTTAGGGTTAGGGTTAGCGTGGTGAAGGCTCTGCTAGACCACAGTCCACTGATCACCGGCGTGATCGGGTTGTGACATAAGCCTTTGCAAGATGATTCAAGTAGACGGGAGCCGGACCCTTAAGCACTTTGTATGCTAGCATCATGGACTTGAATTCGGACTTAACGGAGAATCGGACGAGAATCCTCAGACCTGTTTCTGTCTGTGAGCAGATGGTGTGTTTGTGGAGCCTCCGCTCGTACACGTTCATCCGGAACCTGTCGGGCGGCGCCCATAAGACCCTGTGCCTGCTGTCGTCCTGCGATTTCTCCCCGGACGGCGCGGTTCTGGCCACCGCGGCCTTCAGCGGCTCCAGCTGGTGGATCGACCTCTGGGACCCGTACACGGCCGAGAAACTGGCCACTCTGGCGTCAGTTTGCTTTTTTTTTATTTTTCCCACTCCCACTGATACAATGAAACATTTAGTGTGGAAGCGTTAGGGATGGGACGGTTTCTGAAAACCGTCTGAACCGTTGGGTTCGACTGTCTCGGTTCGGTTCGCGTGTGTTGCGTTCGGTTCATGCTGCTCCTTTTTCTCAGAGGGAAGCGTTTACACTCCAGAGCAGAAGGTGGCGCTACTGCGCCCAAAGCCAACCACCAGTAGGAAACAAGAAGAAGAAGAAGCAGCGTAGCCGATAAAAATCAGCCGCGCCAACAGCAGTTTCTAGGTCTGCTGTATGGACTACTTTGCATTTAGAGGGAAGCACATGTTGGAATTAGCACTGTTTCCTCTCTTGCAATGCCAGAATCTCACCTACTTTCAACCTAAGACTGTCACAATAATATATCAAATGTCAGACTGCTTTTTTCTTTCAGTTTTAACCTGACTATACAAGACATAATAGATTTTACTAACAATCAACATATACCGAACCGAAAACCGTGACCACGAAACCGTGAATCGAACCGAACTGTGGATTTTATGAACCGTCCCACCCCTAGGAAGCAAATGTTAAATCTCATGCTTTTGGCCTCCTTCTTTACATCTTCATGTCTTATCACCACAGGGACTACTTTGAAGATTACGGGCAAAATCAAATATCGGCCATCCAGTTCTCTCCCAACGGCTTGCATTTGGCCATCGTGACCGATGACAGGTGAGCGGGTCACAGACTGAACCCTCGTTAGGCCGATTGGACGTTTTCAGAGCATGTCCTGTGTCTGTAGAGCTCTGAGGATCTGGGAGCCGGGGGAGAGGAGGATGACCATGCAGACGAGGAGGGACAGAGACTCCAACGGGCTGTGCTGCAACTACCATCCACAGGGAGGAGTCGTAGCCACCGGGTGAGGCCGGGCACCGAGTGGGCTTTAACGGGCATGAGGTCACACAAGTCCACACCATTAGGAGGACCGTTAATTGGACTGTTTTAATTTTTTCAAACTGAATTATCAGATGAACTCTAGTTTTTCTTTTTTACTTCCTGGCACAAACCTTAACTCATTGACTGCCAGCCATTTTCAGAACAGAGAGTCCCATACTGCCAGAGTTTTTTTTTAACATTTTGACTGATTTTTCAAGAGCCACCGAATAGTTTGTGCTATGACTATGTAAACACCGAACACACCAAAAGAAAGAGTAGACTCTCTTCTTTCATCAGGAAAAAAAAATTGTTTCTACCTTATTCCGTTCTTCCTCGACTTGCGTCTCACCGGCGCCATTTCTCTCATAGCGAACCGTTACCTTTTTCTTATTTGCCTACAATCTATGCTCATCTCCCATCAAAAGTGGCACTGCCCCCTAGAGGGTCAATTTGTTACTACATACTCTGTCTAGAAGCCTGATATTTACGGACAAGCTTTAGCAGATCGTCCCCCAGACACTCTCGTTGAAAAACATAAAAGACGTCTATAGACGTCTTTGGCAGCTAATGAGTTAACAGGACAATTAATTGGACTATTTTAATGAATTTGAACTGAATTATCAGATGAACTCTAGATTTCCTTTTTCTTCTGGCACAAACCTTGAAAACACGTAAACTGATTTATTTAAATGCTGCAGCAGGTTTTCACGAGTTATCAAAGCTTACTCGACGATCTGATAATCAACTTATTCCTTATGTCAGAGGCCCTATAAAATACTTTAATAATCCTAGAGTGAAAAACTGATTTCCCTCTGGGATTATTCAAGTATTTTTGAATCTGATTCTGATAAGGGTTGTTTATGTCCAGAGACAACAGGAGTCCCTCGGAAAATGATCAGCATTTTCTGTTGGGACTTTTCGGGCTTTTCTTTTTTTTAATATGTTAAAGACATATACTAAACAACTGCTGGTCTGAAGTGAAAAAAAACAAACAAAAAACTAAACAAAATGGCGGCTAAAATAAACTACAAACTGAAGGCGAGTCAAATCCCGGCTCTCTGCTTTCCCTACGTGAGGTTTGATGGGGCTACAGACCTTCTGTAGGAATGTAAAGCGAGCCTCTCTGACCTGACTGCGCTCCCTTCTCCTCTTTTCTCTCGGTGAGCGCTCCCTTCTTTTCTCTCCTCTCTCCAGGACCAGAGACGGGCACGTGCGGTTCTGGACGGCCCCCCGCTCGGTGCCCAGCCTGTGCCACCTGTGCCGGTCCATCCTGCGCCACTCCGTCTCCACGCACCAGATCCAGGCGCTGCCGCTCCCCAGGAGGATCCTGGAGTTCCTCACCTACAGAAACATCCCCGAGCGCCTGAAGACCTGCTGCTCCTCGGACGAAGAGGACTGGGAGAGTTAAGCAGGAACGTGACGCAGAGAGGGAGATAAAAAAATGCCTTTTTCTGTTTTCTAATAGGAAATACCTTTAACGCTAGCCTGATTATGAAAACCATCTAGTAACCTACTTTAGACGCAACGTCCTACTCTAAAGGTTTCATTTATTGCACTACCACTTTATAGGAGCCGTAAACTAAATGATCACGTCGTTTGAACTTGAATATAAGCATTTTATACTGCTAATTTATTGTGTAAATAGAAAGTGTATATCCATTTTTAATTCCTGTGTCGGTCCTTTTAAAAGGAGCACTGCTGCTGTATCCGCTCATGTTAGCCGTTAACAGAATATAACAAAAAACTGGAAATGTGGGGAAGAGTTTTATTAAACCAACCGAAACTCTGAAAGTGACATGTTGGAGCTCTTATTTTGTTACAAGAATATCAAATATGCAAATCTGTCTCTGTGATTGAGCTGAGAAGTCAGTTTTTATTTTTATTTTATACCTAGATAAAGACTGATCTGAAAAAGCAAACCTGGAATCCCATCACGTGCTCCACTTTTGCTCCGTGGTGAAAACAAAGTGGTTCTGGTCTGCTAATGGCAGGAAAACATCCATCTGCACATTTCTGTGGTGGTAAATTGCGAAACAGCATCCTGGAGCTGGTGGGGAGCGGTTAGTTTACGAGGCCTCGCTGACCACGAGGTCCCTCACGGACTGGAAAGCTGCGATCATGGAGCTGAGCTGGATCTTCTCGTTTGTTCCTGAGGCGAGGCGGTGTCTGTGAAGACAAAGGAAATGTTAATAATACACAACTGTGCTTTACGTAGTTATGAAAAGGAAAGAAAAAAAAAAAAAAGCAGCACACTCACTCTATGTCAGCCAACTTGATTAGCAGGCCAATCCGAATAGCTGGAGGGAAATCCACTGGAATGCAGGAAAAATATACAAATAAACAAATCAGAACACCACAAGTCCAGTCCCAGGAGATTTAACTGCTACTAAGAGATGTGGTCTAAAATTCAACATGCACTCTACTGCATTTAAACACACCAACATCCCTCTTCCCTCCAACGGGGGTCACGTGATGTGTAAAACTACACAACAAACTCATTAAAACAATGTTTGTATTGGAAAAGAAAACAAAAAAACGACATGTGACAACTTTAAAAAGGTAAGTTACTTTTAACTCATTGACTGCCAGAGTTTTTTGAGCATTTTGACTGATTTTTCAAGAGCCACAGAATAGTTTGTGCTATGACTATGTAAACACTGAACACACAAAAAGAAAGAGTAGACTCTCTTCTTTCATCAGGAAAAATCTTTTGTTTCTACCTTATTCCGTTCTTCCTGGACTTGCGTCTCACCAGCGACATGTTTTCTCATAGCGAACCGTTACCTTTTTCTTATTTGCCTACAGTCTATGCTCATCTCCCATCAAAAGTGGCACTGCCCCCTAGAGGGTCAATTTGTTACTACATACTCTGTCTAGAAGCCGATATTTACGGACAAGCTTTAGCAGATCGTCCCCCAGCCACTCTCGTTGAAAAACATAAAAGACGTCTATAGACGTCTTTGGCAGCCAATGAGTTAAAGGAGAGGCCAATGGCCGCTCTCTTATCTTGCCCTCTTACCTCTGTGAACCAGCAGGTGCACCTCGGTGAGGATGTCCTGCAGAGCCAAACCTTTCAGCGTCTTCAGCTGAAGGATCTCTGGGGCCGAAGGGTTAAAGAAGAGCGCAAACTGAACGGGACGGGTTTAGAGGCTTTCAAATCAAAGCAAAGCGGACAGCATCTAAACGAATAATGGCGTCTAAAACAGAGGCCACAAACTCTTACAGTGGGGGAAATAAGTATTTGACCCCTTGCTGATTTTTCAGGTTTGCCCACTTACAAAGAATGCAACGATTTATAACTTTAATCATATGTACATTCTCACAGTGAAAGACAGAATCCCAAAGAAAATTCCAGAAAATCACATCATATGAATTTATAAAAATCGATAACCATCTGATGAGGAAAAGTAAGCATTCTTTGTAAGTGGGCAAACCTGCTAAATCAGCAATGGGTCAAATACTTATTTCCCCCACTGTATTATCTTAACGACACCTGCCGGCAACCCTCAGTTCAAAGGGCAAATTCAGGCCAGGGATACGTTTGTAGGCCGTGGTGAAGTCCTTGTTCAGGCACCAGTCCAGGATGTTGGCTATGTCCGAGCGGAGGGGGTGGCCCGTGCACGTGTACACCGTGTCCTCCGTCACCTTCCCGTACGCCATGCTGGTGCTCTGTAACCATGGAGACAGAACGCACAGCTTGGACATTTCTGTGGACTGTTCAAGCTAAAGTCGCTTCGAGAATCGAGAAGAACCGAGAATCGGTCCTACCTGCAGGATGTTGAGGGATCTTCTCATATCGCCCGACGACAAAGTCACGATGGCCTTCATTCCATCGGGAGAAACGTCAATGCTGCCAAGACGATTAACTCGGTTCAACGTAGGGTTTTCACGATACTAAAATGTTGAACTCGATACCGATATTCAGGAAAATACTCGATACTCGATACCATTTTCGACACCAAAAGGATAAAAACAAAGACCCCAAAATTTAACCTGAATTTGGACAGGTTAGTGTCTTTGGTTTCAAACTGACCTGTTACTGATGTTATGGTGGCCGGTGGCCCGCATTAATGTTGGCGTGTCATTATTAGCCATTAGCCGTAGCTAGCAATTCAAGGCTAACGTCACGTTAATGGTCATAAACAACGTAAATAAATATATCAGAGAAGGGGGGGGGTATCGATACTTTTGAAAATGAGTATCGTATCTGGATACAACGTTTTAGTATCGATACTTTTGACAACCCTAATTCAACATGTGTATCACCGCTTAAAAAAGACTGAACTCAGCAGGGTAAATAAAAGAGTGAGTGATCACTGGGGTCGATGGGACTCGTCTTGGTGATAGGAAAGTTACGATATATATAATATCTCTCCCAGCTTGACAATTCAAATCTTCTGGAAATGTTCCAAAAGATAGAGGTACATTTTGTGTTTTCTTTGTGTGTCTTTGAGCAAATTATGGGATTCCTGACAACCACAAAACAACTCATGAAATTAAAATAATTAAAAAAAACACAAAAAACGTACTTATAAGTAACAGTACTTATAAGTAACAGTACTTATAAGTTAATTAAAAAATAAATTAAATAAAGATAAGTACCAGGATGACCCATTAATTCATTCGTCCCCCAGCCACTCTCGTTGAAAAACATAAAAGACGTCTATGGACGTCTTTGGCAGCGAACGGTTGTATTTGAATTGACGTTTATAGACGTCTTTGGCAGGGAATGAGTTAATGTAAAACCACAGGGGGGAAGCGTTCCTCACCTCTCCTGCTGGATGACGTGCTGCAGGCGCGGGATCATCTGGTCCTGGGCCAGCGGCCCGAAGCGGAACCGGGTGCAGCGCGACTGCAGGGCCGGGATGATCTTGGAGAGGTAGTTGCAGATGAGGCAGAACCGGGTGTTTTCGGTAAACTTCTCGATAACTGAGACAGGAACAGAGAGGGCGGACATTATGTCACTCGTTGCACGACGTTTTCTCTCTTTTTCTCTCTCTCTCGCTCTCCTCCAAGCTGTACCTGATCACCTAACGTTCCCAAACTTTACCAAAAGTCTCACTACTGTGAAAGTAAAACAGAAAATTCAACCATATTTAAGAGCTGCTGGACATATAATTATATTTAATTCTATCTATTTAATTATATTTAAATCTAATAATAATAATTATTATATCTAATAATAATAATAATAATATATCTAATAATAATAATTATCATTATATAATTATATCTAATATTTGATCCTTCTATACTATACAAGGATTTTTTTTTTTTTTTTTATGACGGTATTGAAACTGTTGCTTTTGAAAGATACCACCAGTCTACCTTATTACTGTATTACCACCCAACCTATTTCAAATTAATATGAAAGAAGCTGGCTCGATATTCCGATTTTTTCATTAATTGTTTCAATTAATGCCAAATTTCCTGAAAGCGTAATTCTAATTCTTTATTCACACCCATGGGAACAGTAAAGGCTGCTCTCAGCATGAAAACCCATGCTCCAGAACAGAGAAATGTCATGAATACTGTGAGAGCAACAGTACAATTTGCAACTGAAATCTTTTTATACATCTACATCGACATTCTGAACAGATACGCTCATTCAAAAGCTGCCAGATTATGTCTGCTCAGCGAGCCGTGCGGCTCTCAGCGGGCGAACAGATGGCTCACCTCGCCGCAATGCATTCTGGGCATCCTGGGTCATGGCATCAGCCTCGTCCAGGATAACCAACTTGAAGCCCTTCCTGGGGGGAGGACGAGAGGAGTAGGTGAATGGGAGGCAACTTACCGTTTTCAGCTCAGTTATCGAGTGAGAATAAAGTAAAGATAAAGTAAAGAGCTTTTTCGGATAAATTCACCCACTTGAAGATGGTTCTGGTGCTGGCGAAACTCAGAACAGCGCCTCGTACGACGTCGATACCTCTGTCGTCTGAAGCATTCAGCTACGAGTCAAAAACAGACAGATTTACAGGACTGTCTCAGAAAATTTGAATATTGTGATAAAGTTCTTTATTTTCTGTAATGCAATTAAAAATCATGAAATGTCATACATTCTGGATTCATTACAAATCAACTGAAATATCGCAAGCCTTTTATTGTTTTAATATCGCTGATTATGGCGTACAGCTCAAGAAAACTAAAAAATCCGATATTCTAATATTTTGAGATAGGATATTTGGGTTTCTTAAGCTGTAAGCCATAATCAGCTATATTAAAACAATAAAAGGCTTGCGATATTTCAGTTGATTTGTAATGAATCCAGAATGTATGACATTTCATGTTTTTTTAATTGCATTACAGAAAATAAAGAACTTTATCACTATATTCTAATTTTCTGAGACAGTCCTGTATAATTAGAAAGCAATTCATTTTCAGTTTTTTCCATTTTGAAACCCTCATATTCTCAGAGACACTACCTCCAACACCATGGAGTTGAACTCCTTGTCCTTGTAGAGCTGCCTGGCGCAGGCCAGGATGGTGGAGGTTTTTCCCGTACCGGGGGGGCCGTAGAACAGCAGGTGGGGAAGCTTGTCCTCACTGATGAACTTCTGGACTGAACACATGAAGAAAAAAAAAGAAAAAAAAGTTGAGGCTAACGGTTTAAAAACAACGAGACAACACAAGTTCAACATGTGCATCACCACTTAAAAAAGACTGAAATTAGTAGGGTAAATAAAAGAGTGAGTGATCACTGGGGTCGTTGGGACTCCTGTCGGTAATCGGAAAGTTACAATATTTATAATATCTCTCCCAGCTTGATAATTCAAATCTTCTGGAAATGTTCCAAAAGATAGAGGTTCATTTTGTGTTTTTCTTTGTGTGTTGTTGAGCAAATTATGGGATTCCTGAAACTCCATAACCTCTCATGAAATTAAAAAATTAAAATAAAATAATTTGAAATGTGGTCATTTTCCCTATTTTGCATTGGTGAGGTGCTGCTTCTCTTTTAGGAATAAGGAGGGGTATCTAGCCTTCTTTTGGGGAGATTGCAGGTCATGTGCATTTCTAGATGATCAATACTCTTTCATTAAAAAAAAATAAAATAAAAAAATAAGAGAAGAGAAACTTTCTTGATGGAAAAAAAAAAGAGAATAAGGGAAATAAACATGACTATGCTCTCCAGTTACTGGCAGACAGGGGGAATGTTAAAACTATTTAGATATTATTAAATTGTTTTTTTAAAGGTTGTTTACAGATGCAACATAGGGTAAAAGGTGTGTTTAGAGCCAGCCGAGGCCTCAGGAACAGACACAGTAGCTTCCTGCCTACAGAGTGAATACTTACTGGTGCTCAGAATATCTTTGTGTGAGATTAAATCATCAAAAGTCTGTGGTCTGTATTTTTCAACCCTGGAATATGAAGCAGACACACATAAAACAATTAAGTTATCATCAGCACAAAATACGTTAGACTGATCAAATATTAAGACTTCAGACATCACAAGTATAGTCCCAATGCAAATAAGTTTGGTAGGCCGTGCACATGCAGAGCAAATTAAACAATCTGCAAACAATTCAAACTGCAAAGTTTGCATTCAACAAATAAATCACCCTGATTTAAAAACAAAATTATTTTATCAAATAAGTTTGGACAGGATCATATTTCCCTCAATGAAGCATCCCATGTTTTTCCAAATACAATCTGTAAACATCTGGACACTTAGGAAACCAACTGCCGGGGCTTTGAGAGAGGAATGCAGTCCCTTTTCTGTGTATTATAAGATTCTGACACCTCTTTTTTGCGGTACACCGCAAATGTGTTTTCAGTGAGGTCTGCAGTGCTTGTGGGACAGCAGAATGCCAGGACTCTAACTCAAAGCCACACTGTTCTAATAGATGTAGTATCTGCTTTAAAATGCTTCTGCCATTTGTATCAATACCAACCCTGATTTTCAGCTGTGTCTCTTGTTTATAGCCAATCATTTTACAGCCCTATTGCTTATAAACTTGTGTTTTATAGCGACCAAAATAGGATAATAATTCAATTCTGGGCTTATTTGCATTTTAAGCACCTTCCCAACGTTTTTTTTCCCGCAAAAGCTACTTTTATGCAACAATAAAAGACAAACAGCGTCTCACAACCAATGTCATTCTTTATCTTTGTATACTGCATTGAAACGATGTGAAAACAATACCATGTGCATGCATATATATATATATATATATTAAAGGAAGTTAACAACTGTTAACAATTAAAAAGGTGGGTAAAGTGTCATTAAAGAAAAGTCCAGCAAATAAAACACAAATTAAGAAGCAATCTAACATTTACGTGGATGTATCAACAATGTTGGAGATCTTTGAAAAGGACTCAGACTTCTCTAATGCAGGCTGCTAGCTTTGATACACACTAACCATGTTAGCTAGCATTAGCTAACGTATAAGTAATAAACACCAACTTTCAACTCACCATGGTAAATTCCTGCTCTGCAAAGGAGTTTTACTTGTTGACGCCATATGCTCCGTCACTTGTGAAATTACAACTGGGCGAGTTAAACACTTTTGGTCGGGGGCTTATGTTACGTTTCCACTAGCAGCAAACTGTCTCTGCCGCGCTCAGTAACTGAACGTACGTCTGACGTCATCACGTAAAACCAATAAGATACCTTTTCATAGGCGAGGAAAAGTGATGTCATCCCCTTTCCCCCATAGGCGATGACATATACTGTATACTGTAAAATAGATAAGTAAATAAGTTTAAAATTCGCAAAAATTATAGAGACAGAATTTTTATAATTCAGTACATATTTTGTTACACCTAATCATTGATTTGAGACCTGAGCTTTGACCAGTGTTTCTCATATTGCTTCTTATATTAAAAGTTTTTTTTCCATATTACTCACTCTAGGCCTTCTTATTAAAGCTGTACTCATTGTGTAGTGTTTATCACACTTTATATTATTGTTAATATGTCTTCCCCAAATGTGGAATTAATCAAATTAACTTATGTTGTGAAAGATCCAGTATACAGATGCAACTCTCAAAAATAATTATATATCACAAAAACACAAATTTGAAAGATTTATTTTCATATATATATGATCTTTCAAATTTGTGTTTTTGAAGAATTATTTCTGTTTGAAAGCCTGGAAAGTGAAGCCCACTGCGCTCATCTCTGATCTCGCGAGAGCGGCCCCTCACGGCGGAGCCTGAGCGTTGCGATGCTGTTGCTGTGGGTTTGATTGACAGGAAACATGTCGGTGTGGTGGGAGCGAACCGGGATGCAGCTGCTGCCAAGGGAGACAGGGAGTACCTGCATCCGATTCACATATCAGCACCTTTAGAAAAAAAATTAAAAAAAGAAGAAGAACACCAGGCTATTCCCCGACCCGTCCGCTTATGATGCGCTGAGCAACATCTATGTTTTCTTTTTTCTTTTTTTTTTTCTATGCCAACATCCATTTGCGAGGAAAGGGACACCCAATGGATGCTGAGGCAAACCGTGTAGTATCTTCACATTGTGTTTGATTTAGCCTTCATCCAGAGACACCTTGATGATCCAGCAGGAACTACAGGGACTGTTGTTGCAATGGAGTCGACTCTCTCACGGCTCAAACCTCATCTTTAAAGCCACAACAAATCGTTTCATGGCGTTTTGCAGGTCGCTCCGCTCCGTGGGCTCCTCCGCGCTTCTTTTTTGAATCGCTATAGCCTACCTATTTTTTTGTTTTTTTTTTGTTTATCCTCCTAAATTATTTTGATTTCACTGCAAGCGCAAAAGGGGGAACAAAAAATAACATCCACCGCTCGCCAAACTATGAACGAGGAGATGACAAAAAGCGAGGAGCAGCATCTTAGTTTGCAGAAAGCCTTGCAGCAGTGCGAGTTGGTGCAAAATATGATAGACATAAGCATTTCTAGTTTGGAGGGTTTACGGACCAAATGTGCCACATCCAACGACTTGACACAAAAAGAGATACGGACGCTGGAGGTAAGCATCTTTCCCTGGAAATCGTGTTCTTCCTCCTGATCCAAATCAATACCGCGGGGCTGCCACAATCCTATTTCTAGGCCACTCTGCATGTTTATTCGTGCTTTCAGAGCACCGATATGCAGATATTTCTGCAAAAGCCCTGTGATATCTCGTTTTTTTTTTGTGCAGCGCAGTGATAAATCCGGAGGCCACGGGTCTGCAGCGGGCTGTGGGGGGACTTGCGCATTCTGCAGGTGGCGGGGAGAGAAGGTGTTTCTCCTCCGTCAGAATAATATCTGAGGCTTCAGAGGGGCCTGCAGGCAGCCCGTGTTTACAACCCCAGCATCGGTTTTTTGCGTCCAGATACCCCCCGGCGTTATGCAATAAACCCTCGGATTACGGACATTGTTGCAAAATATCGTTATCCGTTAATTGGCCCGCCGGGGGTATTCCGTAAATTGCGTTACGTAATGGCCCATAATACCCCCCCCCCCCCCTCCCTCCCCACCTACAGACGTTGTGTTTGAGATATCAGACCGTCCGTTTTTTAGAGATCACTTAAAGCAAATCTGACAACCCCCCCTCACCGGTGACAGTCTGTTATACGGGCCATAAAAACGCCATAAAGAGCGATGAGGTCAGTGAGAGCTGACCACTGAGCATCGTGGGGCCTTAAGAGTGTTATGGTGATGTCTCAAGAGATTAAAACAAACACTGCTAAGTGCAGCGAGGGGCCCATAAACTCCCCCCCCCCCCCCCCCGTGTCTGTGTGGACCATCAACACACTAAATTTTAAACTTAACTCAGATGCTGCGTAAAAATAGCTGACCATAAAGTCCCCCTGTGAGTTCCTGGCATTGGTCCCACGGGGATTTTCACAAAAACATATTGTTACGGAGTCTGTCAGATGTTAATTTAGGTTTGCAAAGGCTGACCTGGGAGCAGGAATGTGATGCAACAGGATAGAAAAACTAGTATTAATGGATTCAGATGTGTTTCCAGGCTGGAGAAAGAGGATAGATGCCCACTTACTGCACCGCAAAGCATCATGAGGGCTGGATTATTGTGCGGAAACTTCAATAATTCTTATTTTAATGTTAAAACTAAATCTGTCAGACCTCTTGTGCTGGATTTCTGAATAATCTGATTCATGGTGACACGATTTAACTGAAAGAGAAGTGGGACAGAGTCAGCATGTTGCAATTATCTGGATGGTTCAACGCTTTTTGGTCAAAGATACTTACAAATGTGTTGAATCCCAAATTTCTAAACTAAATATGAAATCAGTGCTGCGGAAATTGCTATGTGGCTAAGTTCCAGTATACAGCATACTAGTCTTTAGGCTAGTTAGAAGGAAATAGAGAAGCTTTACTTTGCCTTTCTGGTTGCATTTTGTTGTCTGGTTTATGTTCCTAACTTTTTTCATGTACCAAGGAAACATTTTATTCCAGTTTTCCATTGAATTACTGTTATGAAAGAATCCAATTTGTGACACCAAAACAGACCTTTTTTAATTTTTGTGCACACTGATGGCCCATGTCAATGCCTAAATCAAATGAACACCCTGATACATTTCTGGTCAAAAAGGAGGAATGGGTGCACATTTTTCCGCCTCAAACTTTAACAGTGATGTCCGTGAAGTCTGTGAAATATTGGAGTGGTTTGATTAGAGGCTATTTGCTCATAACAAACACGTTTATCACCTTAGTTACTATAAAATGCATCTGCTGACTGCAAGGGGGGATAGTGAGCATAATAATAAAGCTCACGATTTGTTAATATTTTTGCTTAGTAAAGTTGTTTGAATGGCACCTTTAATTGCAAGTTCATGGTAAAATGTGTTCATTTTTTTTACAAAGTATTGACAGTATTCAGTGATGAGACAGAGATCTGTCCAGGGTTTTACTCTGAGTGATCCTGTAAGGACAATAAATAGTTTTACTATCTCAGTACATCTTCTCTTCCAAAGTTTTTTCCTGTGTTCCTCAGCAGAAACATTAAACTTGGACCAGTATAGATGGGGAGCATCATTGCACAGACATTTTTCAAGTCTTTCCAAAGAAATTCTTCTGGTTTAAGGTTCTGATTGATGGTTGCATGTCGGGTCAAAGTTGATGATCCATGATCAATGAGGGTGGTGGTTTTAAAGTGATGGTAACTTTTGGGATATGGGTGAGTGTATAAGCTGTTTTTAAAGTTTCAACATGGTAAAACAGGGCGAGCTTTCCTGAGAAGGGTGAGTCTAAAAGCTGGAAAAGTTTCAATATGAATTTCAATGAATTTCAAAACAGTCTTATCTCAAAAAAAGTCCACATACATTTTTTATTCTGATATTGCCCATCAACCAGGTGACCTCATATAAGCTGACATGAGTATTTTTAAATATATTTGATTAATTATTTTGTCATTGGTGGACTTCAGTCGAGTTCTTGAAACATATAAAGACAATTAATGGATGAAACCTTAATTTTGATGCTATACCCAGAACGTAATGTATTGACATGGATACTTATATTTCAGTTTTGAATTTAAAATAAGTGAACTTTAAATAAATGAAGGCTATTTTATTTTAAAAAACAATCAAATTTAGCATTATGGACATAACCAGAAACATTTTCCATACAGTGTCTGTCACAGTTTTAAATGTTCTGGTAGCCTTTTAGTTCATTTTGTTTCTCCTTAACAACAATTTAACTCGAGCATCTATTCAAGCTCAACAAACAAGATTTTATATCTATTCCACAGCAATATATCTGATAAATCATTAATGCTCATCCAACAGCAACAGCAACACCTTTTCTCCTAACAAACCTGAAAACAGACACCTGTTACAGCCAGAATCAGGGTATGATCACAGTTTGTGGACGTGTAATAGTACACATTGATCGCTGTAGTTTAACTGATGTTGGCTTTGATAGTCATATCCCGTTTTTTTCCTCTGTTTTCTGCAAGTTCACAGAAAGGAATGTTGTTCTAGCTATTTTCAAAATCATTTATTTATATCTTGCACATAAAGTACAAGCAAGTTTAAATCTGACACTACTGCACGGTTAAAGAAAAATGAAATGTAAACAGACTAAATATTTCCACTCTTTGGTGCTGTTATCAACCAAATTTTATTTGGATTGAAAAAATCTGCTTTTTGCATCTAAAAAACAACTGATCACAATTAATCATTCATAAATCCTCTAATCAATTAGATCAGATTTTTTAATCGCACCCCCACGAGAAACTCACACGTATAACTTTTTCTAAGTTTATTCTGAACCGTGCGCTTAAATTAGTTTGACTTTTTTCAAATCTAACTTTACATGTGACTTTACAGAAGTTTGATGAGGATATTTATGATAGAATTTCTTCATAGGAATAAGAAATTGAGATGAAAAAAATTTACATTTGACATTTTACAAGCTCATATATAATTAAAAAATACAACAAAATAGTAAAAACCTGAATACCGTGCGGTGGTCAGATCTTTTGAGCTCTTTTATTGACACAATAACACAACAGTTGTCCAGCAGGTGTTGTAGTCATGGTCACTATGATGTTTTCTTTTCTACGATTTTCCCTAAAGATCCACTGATTGTGCTTTAGATGGCTGAGTATTGACTTCGCTTTTGCCAAAAGCTTAGCCCGGAATAGCCCTCTATACCATTACCTGGATGGAGTATTACACCGGCTTCCATTAATATAATTACATATTGTTGGTATCCCTTGGATACACTGATGATCAGCACTCACAAAGAATGATTTGCTGTTTTTTTTTAATGGTTTCGAATTGACGCGGACACATGAAACTATCAAAAGTGTATCATACAATAGAGATTACGGTCAGTCGAGTGAGATGGAGGAAACTTTGAGAGCCCTTAAGTGAGGATCGGGCCCTCTTTTTTTGTCTTCGAAAGTAAATGATCAAAAGCTGTAAAGACACCTTCAGGTACTTTATTAAAAAAGAGTTGACTATACAGGAAGAAACTGGTTCCCATGATACTTTATCTGAAGACAACTAAAGGTGTTTATAGAAGTTCTGAATGGTCACATGCAAAGCCAAACATTAAGGCTTCTGTTAAACTGCCTGAACTCTTGTGTTTTCACGAGGTTCGATGATAGCTTCCGTCTTTCCCCTCAGTACATGTCCAATAAGTATAAAATTCACAATATTTTAGCATTTTTCATCTCGTTTAACTTTTGAGGAAAGTCTGTTTCATCAATGGACAAAAGCTGACTTTGTCTATACAGAATGAGGAAATGCCAAATCATGTTATACTTAGCCAGGTATTAAATGTTAAAAAAAGCATTTTTGTGTTTCTTCATTTAACCAAAAATTTAGAGAGTAAAGCATCACCTGTAAATATTTCTATCTTAACCATGTATTGTATGTAAGGGGATTAGCCAGTGTCACCCTCTTAGACTTCCAACAAAGAAAGACAAAAATAAAGTTAAAACGAATTGCCATATAGAGTTGACTAAAAACTAAAATAGTAATAAATTAAACTAATAGCTTAATATAGGTAACGTAACAGATGAAGTTTAAAATGGCCAATTCTACTGTTTTAATTTCAACTTGGCTTAATACTGATGGTCTTTCTATCTTTCAACAGGAAGACAGGATAGGTTAGTTCTCTGAACGATCTGTATCAGGATGATCAGCATATTTTGGAAAGATTTATCAAGTGAAAAGAAAAACTATTTTCATGCTGCATGTCAGATAAATTTGCACTCTTTTCTTTATATGATTATGTAGGAAGGAACGAATCACAAAAAAAGAAAAAGTGCTCCAATGTGCCTCCATCGAGAGGCTAAAATTGAGGCAAGTATTGGTATGAACATGAAATGAGAGAATACTGTGATGCATATTAGGGAAAGCAGATTAGAGGCAGAGTGAAAACTTTTCAGTGGATAAGTTACCACCTTTTTTTCTTGTCGACTATATGTGCTGCACAAATATATATTAATATAATATATATATGTGCAGCACATTTAGAGCGTGTTAGCCAGAGAAACTTTAACAATTGTGGATTTGTAGGCCTGATAGTTGGTCAATTGCCAGTAGTTTAATCTTGCATATACCTTTTCCCTAATTTAAAATCAGTTTATTATCATATAATTCACATTCATATGATCTAATTCGGTTTTTAACTTTTCTTAAATACAACATAAATGGACCAAGCGAGCCATGCATGCGGGATAACCTCTGTTGGCATCTTAATTTTTTCGGGTTGAATCAGAGTGGGCACAACTCAGAAGACAAAGTCAGGACAGGAAGGATG